AATGCCCGACTAACGAAATGAAGCGAAGCTTTTCTCGAGTTAATCGCGACGGATGAAGCACAACGCGTGTTAAGAAACTCTATACAATTCCTTACCTTAACATTTTCATGCTCCATGGCTTTATTACACGGTAATCTGTGGTTGCACACGCCAGGTTTGTGATCGAAGTTGTACGTTTCGCAGAGTGCAATTTTATTCTTTCCCCGTCTGAAAGGATCTCTGAACAATGCTACTGGATGAAGATAAACATCACTGTTGCAGCCTTCGGCTTGAAAAGTGCTCGAGCCATCAAAGTTCCAGACGGGAAGATCTTGAGGTGTGATCGGTTCACTTTCTACGGTCTTAGTTTTACATCGCAGATTTTCGCCGGTGCCGTCGATCCACACGTACAGGACTTGGACTTGACCTCCTTGATCCAGGCTCATGTATTTCTCGACAAGGGGGTTGCTTTCTGTCATCTTTCTGCCTCGAAGATAAACCTGGAAATTTCAAATGTTTAATAGCCGACAAGAGAACGGAGATAGTCACGCGGGGCAATGCTCGATCAACTATAACTTCGCGCGCTAGGGAAACGAAACTTTGTAAGAATGCGCTTTGAACTTTGAATTGTTATTATTGGTCACGTGTGGGTCAGCCAACCGGAATTCGGAAAAAACCAATTGCGTGGCAGATTGTTTGCATGCAATTGTTGGCGTACCAGACGAAACGTTAATATTTACTGGGCAAAGTTCATTTTAAGTCAGCGTGCTGAGGAAAAATTTGAAAGGTTTCTAATATGCTTCTATTTTAAATGACGATCAATAAAAATATGAGCTTGATTCAAAAAAGACAAACAGTCGGATGAAAATAGCACTAAGTGCGTTTAAGGCCTAGTTCAAACGTCGATCTTTACATGTACCGAACCTAACGTTTCTATTAAGTACATGTAAAGATCGACGTTTGAATCAATTAGGATCGGCAGATTTGTATAGACGTTTAAATCAACTGCCGCTCTTAATTATTCGAGTCGACCCAAATTGCAATTAGGTTCGGTACACGTAAAGATCGACGTTTGAACTAGGCCTAAGAGACCTCCAACACAATAGTGACGTGACTATACAATGCGTGAATTTCGCGTGTCTTTCACGTGATCGGGGAGGGCCGTGAGCAAGATTTCGATAACTTATTCCTCCACGTGGTCAATTGAAGTTTGAAATGGCACCGCTGTTTCATGCTTAATACACGGCTCACCTTCAAAATCTTCAATACTCGATAATTTTACATCAGCAGCAAAATCTTCCCTATTACTTTGACTAGATTTATCCTGTTGCGTTTGTGTCAACGTGATATTTCATGTAATCGTGCTCACTGAAACCAGCTGATTAAGATCAGCTTCCTCCGGAAGCAGCAATTTATCAAAATAGCGTCGCATCACGATCGATGCAGTTTGTCGCCCTGCCACTCGAAATACTAAACATGGATGATGTGAGAACACATCTTGAAACTGCTTAAACTTTTGCAACACAGATTCTGGCTATAAATCTCGGTCACGGTCGTAAAAATTGTATATGTCAGACAAGGACTACGCGTGGACAGCTTTAACAGCACCAGACAAAGAAAACATGTACATGGGATTTGTTTTTGCACGCCTCGACACACTTGAAACACTCTCCTTTATAACGTTTCGTGATGGTAAATTGACTCATCATTATCGAAAAATACAGCACTCACGGGCAAATGCTAACAAAGTTTGATTTTAAATAAGATCTACCCGGTGAAGCCAAAGTTCAGCTGTAAAGGTTCGAAGAACCTTATGTCACGTTTTACTGCTACGTGTGCTATGTTGTTTTTGCGCCTCTTTTAACTCTTAGTTTATGATCTTGTATATGAAGCAATCTGATAAAGAAATGATTCTTTCGCTGTATCTCTCATTTTTCCGTAAGAGACTGAAGCTAGCTTTTATTCGATATAAAGATTTCGCGATTAACTAGTTTAGCGTGACAAATTTTGAAATCGTGCAAATCATTTGGAACAAAGGTGTGCGAATTTTCTTAGGTCAGAGTTGTCGACACACCCAGGGATCTGGGGTTTTCGAGTGTCAGACTTATTGAGACGTAAAGGGGTCTGAGTTTCTCTGCGGTCTAAGGCCTAGGTTTTCTTGCAATACTCATGAGAACGAAAAAAAAGAGTAATAATTAACTACGACCTGATTTCTGCTGTGAGCAGAGAGGTAATAAAATTTCTGCAACTTTAAAACACAGGTTTTGACCTCATCTGGTATTTTATAATGAGTCCCACTCGTTTCTGACCTCATTTCCTAGAGACATTATCTAGCATGATTATAATGATTTAAAAGTAGCGAAACGCTATGTGGGGTCCTTCTCAACGTTGTCCTACGTGTTCGACTTCAGGCAAAATTGTGTTAGAGGTGAGCTATTACATCTCAAATTGCCATGTATGGCCTTCATCAACGCTTCTTCCCTACTCCCTGCCTCTCTCAAGTTTTGAGAGCAACGCATGCGCGGTAGCCAGTACGATTGGACGAGTGCCCGAGTCGCTTCTTCATGTCTTTTAGACGCCGTAACGCCGTGTATAAATTTGTGGCTCGTAGCCATAATCTGTCTCACCGTCATCCACAACAAACATGGGCCCAGGACTCTAAAGAGAGATTTAAACACAACTGCGCGAGAGACCAATTAAAGCTGGCCGAGGCCTCGGCTCTCTTGAGCCGCGAGGAAAAAAAAACCCTCAATCAGCAGGCACTGCAATGGGAGAAAAAAAGAAGAGATTGAGGATGGAAATTCCTCGGAGTCGGAAAAAAGAACGAGGCTAACACCAAACCATCTTGACAGAACAAGCTTGATCAATAAATTATTTATCATATGGCAAATAGTATCAAGAATGACTAGTTTATTTTCGTGCGCTGAGGAAGAAAGCCAACTGTGATGTAGCCTGTTCGTTTGACAAATCTAAAGATAACATGATTTAATAGGTTCACAACGTTGATGCGTTAACGTCAAAATCTCAGTTTAATCAAATTAGAAAACTGAAACACTTTCACGAAATTTTTCCTCTCTCGCAGGGTTAATAAGATGCGCCTTGCTTACTGAACCGCTAGCCGCTCAGTCTACCTGTCGCTTTTAGCGGGAGTTGAGATCACGTGATATCATTAAATTAAAATTATTTTAATGTAAATAAACCAAACCAAATTGATTTTGCCCTGTCTGTTAATGATTTCAATTCTCTGAAATTATCCTTGCAAACATTCGTGCCATGTGTGACCTTATTCAATCAATTTCGAATTGGATATCGGGTTATTGGTTTCCGACTTCGAAGGAACAGCTTCAAGATGCCGAGTGCAGGATCCTCGAGCGAATAAATCGACCATGGGTTGGAAATTTTATTCGTGTTGGACCAGATATCGATCTGTGGACGGTGCAAGTAAATCTTTCACCGTCAAAGCAACCTCCTCTTGTTTTGCTACACGGTTTGTCTGGTGGTATCTGCTGGTGGGCTCAAAATTTTAACGACCTAAGTGAAGAGCGTAGTGTTTATGCCTTCGACTTGCCTGGTTTTGGACGAAGTTCAAGGCCTGAGTTAGTGACAGATGACGGAGCAACGGAAGAAGAGTTTGTTCATTACATCGAGGAATGGAGGAAGGTCGTTGGACTAGAAAAAATGATCCTTCTGGGCCATAGTCTTGGAGGTTATTTAGCAATGGCTTATGCGTTGAAGTATCCTTCGAGAATCAAGCATTTGATTCTGTCTGACGCATGGGGATTTGCTATTTTACCCGCTGGAATTGTAGACAGACACCCAGATGTGGAACAGCGAACTGATTTACTGCCAAGGTGGATTCATTTCGGGAATTTCATCGTCAACATATGCAACGTGCTTTCTCCGTTAAGAGCTGCTGGCCCATTTGGGCCATGGTTGGCTCGTCTGGCGCAGTATGATAGTAATAAGAGAGCATCGGAACTGTGGAAAGATAAAGCAATGCTAGAGTATATCTACCACTGCAACGCGCAAAGACCTTCAGGAGAAGACGCCTTTCGAAACATGAATATTTTACTAATGTGGGCGAAATCACCAATGATCAAACGAGTGAAAGAACTACCCGAAGACATTCCAATGACAGTCATGTATGGCTCGTCAACCTTCTTTGACCATCGCACAGCTTACGAGATAAAATGCATCCGGGAAAACTCTTCAGTGGAAGTGTTCATTGTGAAAAATGCTGGTCATGACATACATGTGGACAATGCCGGGGAATTTAACGGGTTACTCAAAGAAATTCTGAGTGGAATCAAAGATGAAGAAGATTGGACGACTGTTGACTGAATTTAAGTAGGATGTGTAATTCACCTTATAAATTGCGAAAATAAGATTAGACAGTCAAGGCGTTTAAGAGTGGCATTGTCCTCCTTTCTGCCTTTACTGAACTAGCTGGCCCTGTGGAGGAAATCTCCAAATAGTTTAGCACGCCTTTTTTTTCGGTTAACTTCATAAGATTTCTTTCCCAGTCCCAGACATACCATCTTGGTGATGTATGGAAGTACAGCCAATTTAAAAGCAGTTGGCCTTTTACAATAGTTGGTCATATGACAATTTATCATGAAATGGAGAGATTATGTTCCATTTGCTAGACTGTAAAATTTAAATGAACTATATTGGGAGCAGAGATTTTAGCACCACTCCAATTCAGTAATTTGCACTGAGAGTGAGACATGTTTGTCCTCCAGGGCATTTTATCATTATTTTAAAACTGCAGCAAAAATAAGTCAGATCAATGGGCAAAACAATATGGATAATTTCATATTTAAAAGTAGCAGAGGAAAAATTTACAAAAGTTTTATAAACTTTAGCTTCAAAAAAATTTTTAGAATATGACTTGAGGCAGAGTGATTCTTTAAAGGCAAGTACTACTTTTTTCCCAACATGTACAGCTCCTTCTTCACGTTGGAGTATTTGGAAACATAAACTGGTTTCTAAAAGAATGTGGACATTTTTTACATATTGCTTATAGTGCAGTTTTCTAAGGTATAAAACAGTTTCATTTTAGGTATACTGCATTCTTCCAAAAAATAAAATTTGATCCCTATAAAAAAAGCCCAAGCTAGTGCTTTGACAAAGTTACTCTTTGCTGTACATGTAGAGTAAATACAATGAATGTATCAAGACAAAAAAAACAAAGCCATGATCAATAACAAAAATACTTTCACTTTTCGGACAAGTTGAAATTTGTGTTCATATAATTTACCCAGAGATATCTGAAGTGGGTGGGTGGGGAACTTCCTACCAGTGTGTTGCTGAAGAAATCTAAAAACCTTTATTTTGTTTCCTCGAATGCGGTTACCATCAATGTTTATCAAGCTTGTTCAATCCACATTCCCTTTATATTTTTCACACTATAACCAGGTATATCACACAAGCAAATAAACTCAGAATAAGTGGATGGTTTCAGATCATAATTTTACTGTGATGTGTACTGGGTTTTCAAAAGTCTGTTAAGAAGACAACAAAAACTGCAAAATAGGCAGTTCATGGTAATGGTAGTAACTAGGTTTATCAACATTGAAGTTTTCCTTTTTTTTACAGATTGCTTTGCATATTCAGATATGAAAAGATGCTGTTTCTTCAATTCAAAAATAACATGCTGTGGTTGTTTTCCCTACTCAAAGTCCATCATATGTTCAGCAATCAATGCTTCCCCCTTCAAATCAGCTGGAAAAAGAAGGGAAAATCAGACAGAGAGGTTAAAAAGATCAAAAAGGGATTCATGACAAAAAATCTGTTCCACAAACATTGTTGTATGCTACAAATGAAATCTTATATTTCAATGATTACTATCATATGGTGGCCTGTGGATGTCTATCAGTTGAGTCAGGGTTTTTGAGATGGTTTCAAAGGGTGTTAGACTAAGTTACACGCAACAAGTTTTGGAAGCATCAAAAAAAAAAAAAAAAAAAAATTTATATACTACAGCAATCAATATATGACTGAAGCAAATTAACTTTTTCCCACTATAAACTAAAATCTTATCCTTTATCATCGTAAACTACTTCTCGGATGGGGAAACAAAGGGAACCCCTTTAGATTACTGTAAATGATGGTCCAATCAAGAATAATAAATAGAAAAATTGTGTAAATGACATTGCTCATGAAAACGCTCTATATCACAAAAATCCCTTATTGAAAAATAAACAATTAATTCACAAAGTTTGATATTACATGAATTTCTGTAAGTGGCAAGTTAAACAGTTTTTTCCTCTACATGCTTTAAACAGCAAATCACATTTCATGTTAGAGCTTCAAAGCTTACTGAAACTGATTCAATTTAAAATTCCATAAATAAAACCTGAGAGTAACACTGAACACATATGGCGGCCAGGAAGTGTCATATTTAGTAATAAACAGGTAACAAAATACAAACCTCCCTCTGAAATGGTGTGAGAATCTCCAACTTGACAATCTTTGAGACTAACATTCTTCTTGATATGTGCATTTGTACAAATAATACTACCCTGTACATTGCAACTAGTGACAGAAAAAAATTACATTCTTTATAAGGGCCTGGTCACTCATCATCTCCAATACATTATTTGCATATCAAAAAATAAATATTCAACTGCAGGGGTATTCAACCACATTTAAATTGAGAAAGGTATTTCAATATAAGAGAAAAACACATTAAAATAGCAATATATTCATGCAACTATACTTAACACAATAATTTATTCCACTGCCTGGAAAAATTAGTTTTTATTTCCACTGGTAGCTTTATCATGAGACAAATGATTACCAGGTCAAGTGAACCCCTCACAATATCATCCTTACCCTTCCATGATTGTGACATGATCCATGATCACAGAATTGCTTATCTTGACTCTTTCTCCAATCACTGTATGCTTTCCAATAACAGATTTCTTTATTGAAACTTTCTCTCCAATAGATACACTCTCATCAACCATGCAATCATTTCCCACCTGGAAAACACAGAGGTTATTTTTTTGGTGAGGAGGTTAACAAACAAAAACTTTTAATTGAGAAGCAACAAACTTTGGTGACCAAAATTTACTGGATTTTTTAGATGATGCAAGATGGTGACAACTGCAAATGCATGTGTTTAAGTGCAGGAGGCCTTAGTCATATCACCTCTGGTGCTTCATGACATCTTAAATCTCTATTTTTGATCCTCTAAAAAAATGAATAATGACCATGCCCTCTTTGACTGCCTTACGTGTTAAATACCTGTGATTTGGGCTTTATTGTAGCCAATGGGTGAATAAGGGTAATCTCCTTGGATGTAAAGCCTGGAAGAAGCTTCGGTATCTGAAAAAAATTATCTACACATCTATGAAAATTTTCAATTAATGCTTAAAGCTTTACCAGATGTGTTACAAAGACTGGTGGACAGACACACAACCTATCCGTAATTTTTTAGGTCAAGCTGCAAACCAGAACATCAGTCAACCATAGAGACAGAAAATCAGATCAATTAATCATTCTGTAGGCCAACAGATCACTCAATGAGATGAACAGGGGTGATACTGTCAAGAGAAATTAGGTGCCAGTCATTCTTAGGGGTCAAAGGGTTATTTACTTTTTAAGCTCTGAGAAATTGGACTTTTCTGACCAGAGATAAGATCTGAAATTTGGTGCCCGAGTACTCATTTTACGAAATACAATATATAGAAAGTCTGTCCAAAACATCCTTTGGAAAATTAATAGTCAGTCTTTTTTATCTTTTTAAATCCAATTTTCAAGACTACATGTCACACAAAAATATTAAACTTAAACTCAGGAATTAGAGTAAATTATCAGAAGAGTTTGGAATAAAGGAATAGAAACACGGACAAGATGAATGATTTTTAAAAGTTCTAGTAGGACCTGTCTGTTTGCCTCCACATAAAGTGGAATAGTGTTTGTTCGCAAGCAGATTCCATTTTCCATGACATAGGCATGACATCTGATGCTGTTAGAGTGATCAATGTCTGTCAGTGTGCCACTCCATGAGGACAACTGTCTTGTGTATGACATAATATCATCCTCTTTGGCAAAGTCATAAATATCTGACAAAAACAAAAACGATATCAAAAGTAAAAATGTTCAGAGCTCCTTGCTTCTTAGAAGCTCTAAGAATTAAAAGGAGGCTTTTAGGAATAGAGTTCATGGCAGTGATATTGGTACATCCCCTAGATGACACACAATACAATTCTCACTTGGATGACTGGAGATCAATGTGTGTTGGCCACTCAATAAATCATAGCAAACTGGCTTTATTCCACTTATAAACTCCTACCTGGTCTGATGCTACTGAATTCCTCAACAACTGTGCTAACAGATTTTGGATCTACTGTGTTCGCTTTCTTGTTCTTCTGAAATTGTTTGTTTACCAAAAAGGGAATAAGCTCTCCTTTTATTGAACTAATCGACCTGCAAGATACCCCCAAGGTTACATTAAAAAAGTAACATTTGAGAACCAAAACAAGTGGAAAAATAAGATCTTTGGAACTAGTAAGATGAGCTTCTGATTGAGCTATGAAGCCATTTGGGCCCTGAACTTTTTCTTGCTTCTTTATCCAGTGTTCTTCTCTTTGAACTTTGATTTAACATGATTTATAGCTCAATAAGCAGTAACAAGCAAGTAACAAGCAGCAAGTGACCTTACTATAAGGGTCTCTTTCTTTAATGTGAGAGTATAACTGTAAATATCAAGAATTCAAAAACAGAACCAAATTTCTTGAAAATAAAGGAAGTTGAATGGACATTGTGATTATATTCAAAATCAAGTACGAAAATGTTCTTGTAAAACAGTATATTTAAAACATTACATTCATTTAAAGGAATTTAATTAAAGAACTAGTGTGGCATACTTTCCCTATTATTTGGAAAGACTGGTAAAAACAAGACTTAAATCAGTCTCCCTCTCACTCAATAACATGTAAAATTCTGCTTCCATACAATTTCCTTGTTAATCTTTACTCAATAGTAAAGCATGCAATGCCACAAAGAAAAGTACAAAGATCAACTAGTTTTAAGCAACTACAAAAACCTATAGCAACCTGGCAGCCCTTGAATCACAGTAGGTGGAATAAGCTTTAAATATGTAATGCAGTTATAATAAGAGAATCTTACTTGTTTTCTGCTAAGTAGTCAACAATCCATTTCTTTATTATGTACAAATGAGCATCCATTAAATTTTTCACAATGTTAATGCAAGGATATCTAGGACAATATAAGAGAGTCAAGGGATGATACCCAAGTACTTATTATATGAGTATTGAGATTAACTCTGTGCAAATTTTGATAAACATCATCATGTCTCTTTGATGAGGAGCAATCCCATTAGTAGTATGATTTTCCTCACTAGAGAAAATACAGTATGACCAGAAGCTCAATACAATTTTGGTCATTTTTTATTCACTTATTGTGACAAACAGCAAAGTTGCATGCTTGAAGACTTGCTCATTTGTTTGCAGTTCTCCACAACTCAAGAAAAAAATTGTTTGCACTCACCAACCATAAAGTAATCTATAATTATTACTTGCCAAAGGAAAGGAGACTTTTGAATAAACTCCAAAGATAACACCTTACACCTTACCTTTTTAAAAGTGGTTTTCGAATCACTAAGATTTCATCAAGATCAGCTTCTGTTGCAAAGAATAACAGCCTACTTTCTCTGGAATCAATACTTATGTAGTCATATTGATCTGTTACAAATAAAGAAGTTAGAACATAACAGAATAAGTACACAATTTCTCTTATTACACAAATGAAACATGCAATTTACACAGAGACAGTCTAACCTCAATTGGGTGCTTCACATTTGTATCTTTTTTCCTGTTTATTGCTTTGTCAAATATATGTTCTTTAATTTGTAATGTTCCACAAACCAAGCTCTAAACTGTGAAATCAATATAGTTTGCATTTGTTTTGTCCCCAAAATTTTTTGTCTTGACTTGCTGAAATGGAGTTGACTCAATTGAATCACTAGATGTATATCTGTTACCAAGTTCAATACCACAGTGAAATTTGATTACTTATTAGGGACTCAAAAATTTCCCAAGTCCAAACAAACTTCCACTCATGTGGACTTAAAGAGCCATAAAACTCCCCTTTTAAAATTGTTTTTGAACAGGTAACTCATTGGGGGTGGGTGGATCTTTTATTATAACCTAGTTTTATATCAAATTTACTGAACTTTTTTATGTGAGCCATCTTTTCCAGACAAAAAATAACTTCAATTGTGCCAGAAAGATTACAATAATTGGAGAAGGTAAGTTATACCAGTGTTATCTGTCTTCTTTTTGGCTTTAGGGTTGTTAGCAAATTCTCTATCAGCACTTGTCTGAGGAACAGGAGCTAGAAAAGCACTGACAGTTGAGTCATGACTCCTGTGAATATCAGCAAGATGATGAAGAGCAATGTCTGTCACAAGATCACAGCTTACAACAAAAATGTCTTTCTGAAAAAAAAGCAGTCAACATTGATGCTATGGTGTATACTATCTGTAACTTTCCTTTCTTAATGATACTGAGAAAGATTAAGTCCTGAAATGGCCATGGCTCAAAATATTTTACAAGCAGTTATTGATCACCAATGATTGTAATTGGTGCAAGCATTACTAAACATGTACAAACAAGAAACAGCACTCAACTAAAAATTGTTACTTGTTACACAAAGTCATACACATACAGCATTTAAATCTCTCCACTGACCTCTATTTTATCCTTAATATATCTTAGTGCGTCTGCAGTACCCATATCTGCATCATCAGGAATAGTGACAAAATCAAGCTTCAGTCTAGGATTACAGACAATTGGTAGAAGCTGGTGAAATCTTGTCAAGGCTGAGTCTAACACTACAATGATTATCTCTGCAAAAGAAACCACAAGAGCATCTGCATCTTGATTCTAGCTGATACAACTGTTCCACTTTAAAATCTATTACATTTTCAAATTCCACAAAACTAGAGAACAATATATTTGTATGATTTATGAGCAGTAAGTTCATATGATTACAGTGGAAGCTCAATCTAGAACAGCCACCTCTCCAAAACAGTTGCCTCCCTTATGACCACTGTTTTCCCTTTTCTGACAGGCAAGCATTACTTTTGCTCTTATTTAAGTCTCTCCACAATGATCACCTTTCTACTAGGGCAACAATGACTTAAGTGCCTCCTAACACAGAAGACAACACAAGATCAGAGTTAAACTCAAGTGAACAAATATGATTTTATCAAGTGAAGGCAACAATTGGTCAAGGGAGGGGTAAGGATTATAAGCTGAGATAGTTGCCAGGCAATTCCATCATAGTTGGTTTTTACACATAGCTGAGGTTAAAACTGAAAGGATTGATAAGTGGAAGAGGGAGGGGGCTTAAACCAGAATAAAAAAAACAATGCTTTAACATGAAAAACTGCCTGAGAAACCAGAAAGCAAAAGAACAAGAATCCCCTATCAACAGTAGCAGCAATGTTTTGAGATGTTGAGCTGAAGCTCAACAGACAGATCTTCTATATAGTTTAAGTACTATGTTTCAATAAAGCTGCTACTGGAGACAAAACCCTCAAAAATTTCAAAGCTGAAACAAGAAGCTCAATTAGCTCAAACAGGAATACACTCTATTAAACTTGAAATTCTTTAGTACATATAAGGAATCTCATTCAAGGACTGATTGGTGATCTTAATACTGCAGAAAGTCTGATTAGATTAAAGGTAATCTCTGAGTTTGAAAATCTCTTAGATAATGAATCTGTATTTACAAGTGCAAAGTTTCCACACAAGTCTGTCTTGACTTTCTCTGATGCTTTTTCACATAATAACATACCATGATTTTGAGTGCAATTTGGTGTAACTAACCACATGTAATTGTTCAAAGACTACAATATACACTTGCCCACAATTTTGTTGTCTTTGAAAAATTTTACTTGAGCTTATTAACACCAAATTTTAGTCAAAATCATGTTATTATCTATAATCATAGAGGAAGACTAAAGAATTCTTAAAAATAAAATAGTAGCAGAGAGCTGTTGCAGGCTTTGCAGGAAACATTGAAACCCCTGTGAATAAAATTATTTCTCTTTCACATCCTATGATGCAGCTGTACATCAATAAGGGGAATTTACCCTATCCTTATCTTGGATAAATTAAACTTCCTGGATTTTCAAAGCTTTCTATGGAGGTTTCAGCACATGCACAAACGTGTCTACATTTCTTTCCGCAAAAATTAACAATTGTTTTAAATAACAGGAAGGATGATACAAGTTTTAATGCGCAGGATAAATTACATCATTTACTGGGCTCAAATAATTCACAGCTTTGCCTTTTACCTTCAAATCCTGCTTTGTCGAGCAAATTAATTGGGTACCATATCAGTGGCAAATTTCCAACAGGTAACAAGGCTTTAGGGATTCTCTCAGTCAAAGGAAACATACGAGACCCAGTGCCAGCCGCCATTATTACTGCCTGAAATTCGGCCATTATTCCACGGAAAATAGCTTTACAAAATTCGACTTAAAAAGGAAAGAGATAAATGAAAGAGGTAAAAGGAGATTAGCCTTTTTGAGGAAAGTCCGCCATGATGCTTGCTATGTCTGGCCCGGTGGCATAGCTGTTCTCAGGCTAAGAAGGCACATTTACACCTGGTAAGTCTGGGTTCTAAAAATTTAGAGAGACGTGAACACCTGAAAATACGGGAATCGAAAATTTCTACAGAAATAATCAGTCATCTGCATTAAAATTTGCGATATTTTCGACCTTGGGTACCCCAGAATTTGACTCAACCCGGCCACCAGAAATATTTAACCGAATTTCCAAAAGAAATCTCATGCAAACTAAACGAGATTACTCGATGTTTGTTTAAACATGACTGACTGGTCGATAAATTGTGCGGGTTAGAGCGTACTACAAAATCGCCTCTACACCAGTCAAAGCAAACCCCTTTTCGGTCCATTTTGGCTGGTGGATTGAGACCCCTTGTTCAAATTCGCCAGTGGTAGTAAAACCCCATTTCATTACTAAACATGATAAATTAAAGATGGAGATCAAGAATACTAAAAAAAAAAAAAAAAAAAAAAAGTGTTGATGAGTGGTTCAAATCAACCAAGGGGTTTTATAACCGCTGGCAGATTTGAACAAGGAGTCCAAATCTGCATAGTAAAACTCATCCAAACCACACAAGCACAGTCAAGCCTGTATCAAGTGGCCACCTGTGGGGAACAGTGGGGTGACTGCTAGATATAGGTTCCACAGATTTGGGTCAACAACTCACTCAAAAATACCACTAATATTGATTTTGCAAGAGAAAAAATTTCTTTTAAATATTATTCCTGGTTTATTTTGGTGGTCCCTCTTTAATAGAGCATCTGATACAGGTGAATGACGATTCAAAAAGGCCATTGGGACTCAGTAAAGGGTGGCCATAACCACTTGGTAGAGGTGACCACTTAATAGAGGTCAAAATTACAGTGGTTAAGGGGAAACAATTTTAGGATGTTGAAAACAGATTGTTCAATTTGGTGTGACTGCCTAAGACAATACAAGGAAAGAGAAGGAAGAAGAAGAAGCTGTAAGAACAGAAAGTCTCAAGCAGTTGAAATCATTTTGAGGGAAGCCCAGTTTAAATTTTGAGCACTGCTGCCATTCCAATTAACCCCCACTGCTCCCCCACTGGAAATGATGGGAACTAATGATGAGTAAAAGCACAATCAAACAAATTTTTGTCTACCAAAGGAACCAATGACCCTTAGTTTTATCTGCCAGCAGATTTCATAGTACTCAGTAAGTATCAATAAGAGGGGCTGGGGAGGATAAAAAATGGTGTCACCACCTCCAAAAGTTGATGTGAGTATGATGGCTAAATGATTTTTGAGAAAAGAGATTTAAGAAAACAAATAGGACTCAATGTGTTAGTTAATGATCCAATCTTGCAAATAGTGAGAAACAATTTAATTTTAACTTCATTATTTATATAGTGCAAAATACATGGGTATGTGATCTAATGCGCTTGAATTACAAGATCTAATGCGCTGGAACAAGTCCCTTGTTCCAGCTCAATAAAAACACAAAATCCTCCATATCCCAATTTCCAGCTTCCAGCTCCTGTTTCCATCTCATATTGAAGATGCTGATAATGAACAAATTATAAACTATTGTAAATGTCCTTTGGAAATACCTAACTTTCTAGTCTGAGCTGTGACAATGGTGGATAATCTTTTAATTGTGTAAAAAATTAAAAATTCTAACAACAGGTGAGGTAAAGTATGGTACAGACAGTGTAAGACTGAAATAATTTGCTGCATTTCTAGCAAAAAATATAAAATATCCAACATTGAATACTTTGATTAAATAATAGCACGATACTTTGATGAATCCTGTGCCACCCTTGACAAACTATCCCATGATAATGCATCTAAGTTAATTAAACATAACAATTATTCAAATATAATTCAACTATGTACTACCATCACTAAAAAGGCTCCACTTACATTTAAGTTTACATTTGAACAGAAGACTTTTACTTTAATTAATTAGTTTATAACATTTAATTGATTTAGGGCTTTAAAAGTGATTAAAAGTAGAGAGCAATCAATTTCTCCATGTCAATAAAAATTAGAGTTTACATGAGACATCATATTTGCCACACCCAACATACTGCTTCATTGTTGGATTATTCAAGTCACCATCATTTCCTTCACCAGTGTCACTTGATGGGCCAGTAGTCTTGATACACACACACTTAGAATCCTTTTTCCCTGGTTTAAACATTTTTCTTGGTACTCCGACCCAACTACGACTTATTCCACCACTGCAGGAGAAAGACAAAAGATTCATTTTGTAATAGGGCTCAGATCTGGGTGAAAGACATTGCTAATTTTCAGATATACTGAATTTCGCAAAATATCCATAGTAAAGGTACTTAAATATTAACAAACATTTGGCTAAAGATTCTATTGTAGTAATGAGGTACATAAAGTATAGGAGAAAACCTAGAAAAGCATAGCTATAGCTATGTAGAAAACTAAACTGACATGACAACTGTGATTGGTAAACCCAATCAAACATTTTCAAACTTTTTTCTTAGAGGCTAGTGGCACATCCAATTGAGCCCTGTGCAAGCTCTTGTCTAGAAAAAGGCTCCAAGATGCCTACATTTCACCATGGCCTCTGAAGAAAAATTTTGCCCCCTAAATTTCTGATTTAAGTCACTAATTTGCCAAAAGTTTGTGGTTTGAATTCAAAGTAACATAGGCAGTTCATAAAATATTGCTCATGTTTCATTGTGCTTTTATATAAATTGTGTTCCTTTCTCCTTAGTGGCACATTTTTTTTTAATTAAGGAAACAAATTTGCTCTGGAAATCCATTTTATGACATACATGTATGACTTTACACAACCAATCCCATCTCTTAATACTGGAAAAGTTTTTTCGGTATTTTGGTATCTTCATACCTGTTTTGAGAGCACCAAACTGTCGAGCCTTCCTCTGCATTCCATTTAGAGTTACAACCTGGATAACGTTTATTTTGAGCTTCTTGAAGCTTCTTTAATTTTTGCCCTTCCTTAATGACTGTTTTAGCTTCCTTCAGTGCTTCAGTGGGATTTCCTTCACTGTCATAGTAGCGACCAATTAGCTTTCCAACATAGATATAATCCTTTCTGTAGAAGTCTAACCACTCTTTGACACCTAACATTTCTTCTGGAGATAATCCCTTCACATCATCCGTAGCTTTCTCTCTTGAGAATTCTCCTGTCACAAACGATGGCGTGGAATCCCGACCTGCAAACACATTGTACCCGCTCCCAACTTCATAATGCTGTCTTCCTTTATCGACATCGTAAATTCGACCGAGAATTGACAGATATACTGGGACATTAGGATCGGACCCATCATGTTTGGAAAGTTCTTCTTCAGTAAGTAGAACCAGCCCTTTGGGTTTGGTATCTGCCTTGGTTGGCACAGTTACGGAATTTTTAAAACGATGAGAAACAGAAAAGGCTAAAAGGCCCGCAACCAAAACAACTACCACAGATAACGAAACATAATAGACACTAAAGGATTCCTGAGCTCTTGTAGCTGGGGAAGACAAAGTTTCATCTTTCCCTTCACGCAAGGCACTCTGATCTTGATCGCAATTTTGTGGTTGGTCTGATGCAAGTTTACCAACATTGGACTTGGCTGATTTCGAATTTCGCTGCTTAGACATACCAAAACCGTTAAAAAGTTAATATGAACGTAAGTTTTATGAAAAGGCTGACAAATAAATGTTAAATTTTAACGGAAAAAACATCGTTATTTACTCTAAGAGGCCAATATTAACATGTCCGGGTGGGCCTAGGGATGACTTCAGGGATGACTTGTCAAAAAAAGTACAAAACATCCAAATTACTTCATATAGGACGCATAAACTATCTTTCAAACAGCAATTCGTCAATCGTGACGCTCATAGCACACCTTAATTGCCCCTAAACTTTTGCACAAATATTGTTTTCATCAGTACTGCGACCGAATTTTCTCCAAGAAAATATGAAAACAACGCATAAGCGTAATTTAGAGGCAAAAAAAATGTATTGAGGACGACCAAAAAATTGATTTTTATCTAAATTTACAAGACAGGAATGGTCTTTCAAGAATCAAGAGACTCTTTGAGATTTGCGACAATTGTTGTTTTTCTTACAAGCAATGGTTGCAACAACTCTTCACCTTCTTTTGTCTATCACTTTCAAAAATGGGTGCAAACATTGCCAATGCACTGATTACATTGTTGGTGCTGACAAACTTTGACTTCATTGGGTTGGAATTCCACAATAAATACATTTCCTGTCTCTATGGCTACCAAGACAGCACGGGGAAAGCATTTTGTCTCAAACAAGGTGACAGTGACCACTGGAAGGCCTCTGTACATGTTCCCCACCCAAACTTCCCTTGACTGGTCTTGACTATGATTTTCATAAAGTGCTACCACAGTGGAAAGGTTTGATTCCTCACAGGGACTCACAATTTTTTCCTTTGTTGCAATATTATTGCAGTTCAATTTCAGTGTAAGCATGAAAAGCATGCCCCTATGTTCTCCAGAGGATAACCATTGCCTAATATCAAGCAAAAAATATCAAATACCTAGATTATCAACTACATGATACAAACAGAAACACATTAAAAAAAAATATCAGAATAGTTTATTGTTCCCTGCTGGTACACAAGTGTTATCACAGAGCAACTCTAATCAAAAACAAATATGACCACTATATGGGTTGTTGATAAACCCTGCAAATACTACATTCTAGTGACCCAAATGTGCACATTAAAATCCAAAATAATCATGACAAAACCAAAACATCACATGCTTCTATGATCTAAACTTTAACCAATATTTTTTATACTTCTTAGGTCATATTTTTCAGTAATTTATTACAAATTTTAACTCAAACTGGACAACATCAACATTTCACTTCCCTTACAAATCAAAAATACCAATAATTAATCATACATCAAGCTAATAATTAATCATACATCACAGCTATAAACTACACTTCAAAATACAGTCACACATAAGTGTCATCATTATACCTGATCTGACAACATAAACATAAAGAGAATATCATTCCCATTATTTGAATAACTGCAATCCATATGCCAAATCCACTGATCACATGAAGATTGTTCAAGAGATATTTCCTAACAAAGTCATAACAACCTTGGGTGTAGACTTTAGTTGGATCCTGAGTGGCATTTTTATTACATGTGACATCAGAAGGGTCTTTGCAGCAGCTTTTAGGGATGGATCCTTCATTCCTTCTCCCCCAACTGGTGTTGAACCAATCAATGTATTGATAATTTCCACAACATTTAAAACTTCCTTGTATTTCATCAATTGCTCTTGTGACAGCTTCATGGTCAGTATCTTGATACTCATTCAAAGTTTCTTGTATATCACCTCGTAAATTGTTCTCAATTTCTTCCCTGTTAACATAAGTCAGAACAATTGCAGTAATTTCCAGAAAGAATATTACCACAATAAATGCAAAGTAGGAACCAAGCATACATTGGTTTTCTTTTATTGCTCCACAACACGCCATAAATGCCACCACAATTGTAACTGCGCCGATAACAACACATAAAATCGGTGCTGCTTTGTAGTTGATGGAGCCCGCCAGTTTAGTATAATCTCCTGCTACTTCTCCTTTACTACTGAGCAACCATATTCCTAAACCAAACAAAGTACAGCCAGCAAGCCAAAACAATAAATTGAAGAAAACTACCATAAATTTCAAGCACTTGTATCCACAATCTCCAGTCATGTTCATGCACATTGATCAATAGGAACTGAGATCTTTGTTCAAGTATAACGATTTTAATTGATCAGTTTATTACTTCAAGTTGTTTAGCAACGTTAGACCGCACCGTTTGTTGACTGATCGGCGCGGCAATTGAGTTAAATCTTGATCGACTCCGCCTTCAGAAGAACAAAGTCTCCTACATCCCACCGTTGCGACCTCTTGATGTGGAGTACCCTCACTACAAGGAACGAAAATCCTCTTGCTAATTACAATTTTAAGTATTCCATGTAAGTCTCATCATTCTGCCTTTCCTTGAAGAAACGCTTGTTTTTATCTTCCTTTGCTAGAAGAATATTCAAAACAGCAATACTTGGTTAATTCATGACAATGTAGGGGAACATGGTTAAATAAGCAAACATGAATAATTGAAGAAATACGTGTCGAAATTATTGAAAAGCTTTTGAATATTATTTTTCTCCCACGGGAACTCATCGCCGCGATTTGTGATGTTGCCGGAAAGGCTACCGATCTAAAGATGGCCTTCGTAACTTAGACATCAGTGATCACACATTACATATAGTTCACTTATGCATTAAAATTATTTCCCAATCTCGCCTTTTCACCGGACGAAAACATATTTAGCATCTTCGATCGCCATCTTGAATTACTAATCAGCTGCGTCGCTTCACCAGTCTCTTCTCTTCAATCCTTCTCTAGACATTCCAGCAGGTAGAGCTGCCATTGCACGGTTGTCTTCAGTTGTTTCAGACAGTAGACAGTTCTTATGTGATTGCACTTGTTTTGCATTGCCCCAGGGGTGAAGCAAAGCATTAGAGATCGATTTCTTTAACGTGGCCTTCGAATTCTAAAGATCCTGGGCGTTACGCTGGACAATAAATTCTCCTTCAAAGATCACGTAACAATTACGCTAAAAAAGGCATATGTAAAAGTCGCCGCTCTCCGCAGAATAAAGCGTCTTGTACCTTCCTCTATTATGATCTCTTTGTACAAAACATATGTGTTACCTCATTTAGAAGACTGTTCCCCTCTATGGTTGGGAATCTCTACTCCCTTGAAAAGTAAGCTGGAAAAATGTAACTTTTACGCGTTAAGCACGGTGCTTAATCTAGGTAGATCTACTGAGTACAAAGACTGTCTCAGGCTTGCTAGTATGGACACCCTAATCCGAAGACGTCTTACTGCGTCTTTAATCATGTTTTTCAAGGCATACAGGCTACAGGGAGCTTCGTATATCTCGAATTTTTTCACACCTAGGGTCTGTCACTACAATTTGCGCTCCTCTGCTCTTAATGTTTCCCAGCCTGTAAATACCTCTAGCCATATTCATAGCTCTTTCTCATATATTATCTATCATTCCTGGAACCAGCTACCATCTTCAGTTAAATCGGCAACTACTCTAGCAGAATTTAAGACTGACCTATCTCGCATAACCACGCTCGGCTGTAAGTGTAATAAGTGTATTAGTATACAATTGTAGGGGTAGGGTTATGAATTGGTAATTAGGCTTCAGGGTTAGGGCTATAAGTTAGGTGATTAGGGCTGGTGGGGTTTCAGGGGAGGTTCAGGATTAGGATTAGGGGTAGGGGACTAGGTGATATTTTTGCGTTTTTTTCGTCATATATACATATATTTAACTTGTATATATATATTTATATACAAATCTGTATTTTATCTGTCGAGCGTTTCGAACATGAGCCATTAGGCTGACGTGAAATAAATTGTATTGTATTGTATTGTATCAGGTTAAATTGCACTTGAAAGACGTAGAAATAACCAGAAGCTTTGGGGGAAAATAGGGGAAAAAAGGTATTCAGATGATACTAAAAGGTCAATATACATAAATCGACCGCCATGAAGATATAATTGGTCGAGAATTCATCATTCGGTGGAATTTTCTAAATATTTTAAAGGCAGTGTCTACAAGATGTTGCGCCATGCTTCCTATGACCACTACTTTTGATTCTTCTTCTATTTCAAGAGCAAACTATATCTATTTTAGCGGTCAACTGATAACAAGTCAGGGTTATATTTTATATGCATAAGTGCATGTGTAATGACTGAATGCTTTCGACCGATCAGACATTTCATAGTAAGGTTAATGTATGCGATCCAAGTCTTCTAAGGCTCAGTGGTATAGCATTCGAAGTGCTCATGGGAAGGGCGTGGGTCATTCACTGAACAGCATCATTTTTCAGCTCTGGGTTGTCAGGCTTTGCGAGGCCGGGGTCATAAGTACAAATGCATTTTAAGGCCCACTTAAACGGTTTTTAACAATTGACCAACATTCGTCGTCCAAAAGTTGAACGGATGTTGGAAAACGTTGAAACCGTTTAAACGGGCCATTCAACATTTTCGAGAACAAAGGAAAAGTTGAATCGATGTTGAATGAAAGTTTAAATCGATTTAAACTTGATTCAACACGCTTTCAACAAACTTCAACATTTTTTACGTTTTCAACGATGTTGGACGACCTATTCAAACGTACCGAACATTTGGTTCAACAAAGTGTTGAATGCATGTTGAAGCAAATGTTGAAACCGTTTAAACGGACCTTTACGCCCTGTCGCCAAATCAAACCAAATTTTTCAGATTGAAAACACTATCCTTCCTTGACAAATAAGTCATTTGTAATTTTATTTAGAATACCTGATTAGAGTAAGACGGCGAGAACGTTTTGTCCTGAAGTAGTTCAGTTTTTTTGTGGCTACTGCCTCTTATAGGAAGAGAAGCCACATATTTCTTCGAGATGAGTGGGTGAATGATCATGGTAACAGTAGAATTCCGATCTTGACACAATTTTGACCCAATGTTTCCCTGTGCTACTTATTGTTTGTTTCGGAGTATTGTACTAGTTTGACATTCGCACTCGATACACAGCTGAGTTCAACTGAAGTTTGAATCAGCGACTTAATGCCGAAAAGAGGGGCTAAATTTGCAAAGCGAGCAAGCTGCGAAATGATAACGGAAGGAACTTGGGAATGACGGAATATAGTGAAACGCCAATGCCTCGTTGTATGAAACA